GCAACATAATAGTAGGTAAGCAATTGATGATATCTGCGGTACAAGTAAAAGCTTCCCACTAATATTTTAAGGGCATACTAGCATTAGCTAACAAACTCAAACTCAAACTCATTTCAAATAAATGACAATATTTCCTTTCAACTCCCCTATTTGGTTGGGATGTGTAAAGGTGTGAATAATATGCAATGATTCTAGATTCAATGAGTAAAGAGATAAAACTCTTATACTCTCCACCATAATCACTATGAAGTATTTTTAATCTTTCTGTCAAATAAATTTTCAACTATGTTCTTGAAATGTTTGAAGACCTTAAGAGCTTCATGTTTAAATTTCAAAAGATAGACCCAAGTATACCTACTATGATCATCAATAAAGCATATATAGTATTTGTTACTCATGGTACTCTTTATAAAGGTTGGACCATAGATGTAAGTGTATTAAATCAAGAGGAGTACAAGTATAAGAATCAGAGACAAAAAATGAAAGTTTATGTGACTTGCTAAACTAACAGACAAAACAAACATTAAATTTTTCATTCATCTTAACTTTCTTATTACAATCACTAATAACTTGTCTAAAAACATTTTCTAAGCTATGGCCTAATGTTTGGTACCAAAATTATAAAGAGGTAAAATTAGCTTCAGTAAAGTAAGCTTATACAATCTTGGGGTCATTTATATCATGAGAGAAAAACTGTGGTTCTTTCTTCAACTAGAACAGCTTGTCATATCTCTTCCCTACCACCAATACCTTAAAGGTCCTTGGATCCTTCACAACACAACCACCACGGTGAAATAAAACTAAAACATCATTATTGAGCAAGTTATTAACACTTACCAAATTTTTCTTACTTTTAGGAAGAACCAAGACATCATTCAACAATAGATCTGATGATTTTTAAGCGATAAATAAAGTTCCTTTAACAATATTACTAATTGAAAGTTTAGAACCAATACCAGTAACTTTGTTACCTGTGTCACCTCGTTTGGTGCCCTTTCCATCATCAAGATCAGTATGAGTTATATGGTTTGTAGCCCCACTATCTAGGTACCACACAGGATCACAAACCATCTCAAGGGAGGCAAAGTATGCAGCAATAGAGTCAGAGCTAGAAGAACGAGAGTTTGAAGACTCTCCTTGCACAAAATTCCTATCATATCGATGCCAGTAATCAAATACTTCACAACCATATTTTTCATAGAGCTAGCACTCAAATTTCCTATTATTATTATTCTGTCTTCCTCTCCTCTAGCCATGACCACTTCTACCATCTCTAGTTATATGTTGATCAGAGCCTCTAGATAAGCCTCTATTCCCATGACTAGTTGAGAAATTGTTAGTTCTGAATGCCAGATTGGCCATTCCATTACCAATATCTGAAACAAAACCATGATGAATAGCACCTAAATGACTTTTATATGTCAAAAGATTGGCTTGCATTGCAAGCTAGATGAGACCCTCCTTCTCATTCAGCTGAACAACAATAGGGGTATACTTTGCATCAAGCCCTGCCAAAGTTTGAAGGATAAGATCCTTCTAGCTAATAGGGTATCCGGTGAGAAAGAGTAAGTAAGATAGAGTTTTCATCTTGTCCAAGTACTCATCCATTTTCATGTTAGACTTATGAGTCCTTTGAAAATAACCTTTGAGTTGAACTATCTTTGATTTCATTAGAGTTCCAACTAGGTCTTACACACTTCGCCATAGTTGAGCTAAAGTCTTGTAGTGCAGCATTTGGGTTTGAATTTCTAGAGCCATTATGCTCAACAACCACCCATAGAGGATCTAATCTATCGAAAGCCACTCCTTATAAGCTAGATTGATGATGATGTTTTCACCTTCTATAACATATTCCTAGGGATGAAACTTTATATCTAGTACAAATCCATCAAGACAATTACCTCGAAGGATGGGAAGAACGAGTGAGGACCAAACCAGAAAGTTGTGATGATCAAGCTTCATTGAGCCAATCTAATTGAGACTATTTAGAAGAGGCATAATTTTGATTGTGGTTGCCGAAATACTGGTTGTGGTTGTTATAACATGAGATTCAATATCAAGGGTTTAAGAACCTCCAAGAAGAGTATTAAGTATGGGAATGTGATTGAAGGGCATGTGAATGAAAGGATTATTGGGGAAGGAAGGAAACATGAACGAGTTATAAAGAAAAGGAATGGATGAGCTACAAAGTGATGGGATGGATGAGGACAAAAGAGATGAAAAAAAAAAGGATATGAGATGGTGTGAAATGGGGCCATGGATGGCGACACATCGGCAAAGGTGGAAGAAGCCATTAAAGCTTTAATACCAAATTAAAATATTGTAAATATATTTGCATCAATTGAATTTATTGGAAACTGTATAAGAAGATTAAATAATACAAGATCTAAACGAGTGGCCCAATACTATTGGCCACATAAAAGAATGAAAAGAATATTCTAAAAATTATTGTATAAAGAGATAAGGATAAAACAAACTTAACCTAATCTATAATGGATTTTTTAGTGGGCTTTGTGGTCTTAGTCTTTGTCTTCTGGATTATATCTCTAACAAAGTCATTCTATTGGCACCTCCCATCTTCTATTTCAAATATTGATGGTAAAGGACATGGTAAAGGACAAGGGCATTGTGAGCAAACCAGTATTTGCTCCATTGATGGTATAATTGACCTGTACTATACAACACCACCTACCACCTTATGACCAAGAGCAGCAAGATGAACTCGGATTGATTTCACATTTCTAATGTAATCACACATTGATAACTCTCATTTTTGTTGATTGCTAAGAAAATTGTGATAGTGCATAATTTTTCTCTATCAATTTAATTGAATCTTATTGGGTGGAATCTCTGCACTTCCTTCAAGACAAGTGTGAAGATCATGTTGCTTCACCATAAAGTAAACACGTTGCTTCAAGAGAAGGAAATTATTTATGTCTAGGAATTAAGTAACTTTTCTGTTGGACAGCGTAGATGGCGTCAAAGCTCCTGGATTGATATTTATATCAACTAGAACGGTGCGCGTGCAATACACAAGATACTTATATCATTTATACAAGTTAAGACTAACATATGATGCATACATTCAAAATGTGCTCATGTTGAATTTCTTATTATGATTGAAAATGCATGAAAAGTTCAATGTGAAAGTGACTGGTCGCAATACAAGAAGGGATGGTACAAAGGCATACTACACCATATGCATCCAAGAGTGTAAGTTACTGATTTTGAAGAAGACACTTTTTAACCTCTCGTACTACTTTGCTTTCTTCCTCTACCTATTAACTATTGTTGATTTCCTTCTAGGGGCAGGCTTGATTCTCATCTTCGTCTCTTTCAAATTCTCTTCATTTTCATTCCTTCTTCACTATGATGGATAAGAAAAACCTCTTTTAAAACAATGAAGTATACAACAACAACAATAACAACAGCAAACCTTATCTCACCAAATAGGATTAGCTACATGAATTGTACGACGTTATTATCCTCTGTCACTTACCAAGCTTTTAAGAATGTTATTAATTAAAAAATCTTGGTAAACAATAAAGTATAATTTTGAAAAATCAAAACAATGTTGTTTTAATTTCAAATATATCCTTAGAAAAAAATTGTCTAAAGCAATTGTATGTATATTTTAATAATTTTAACATGTCGAAGACTTGAAGATCTCATGGCACAACTTTCATCCGGCTAAAAATTGAGAAACAGAGAATCATGAGTCCCAATGTTAGTTTCAAGGAATGCGTGCCCATTTGCTAGTGATAATGAATCAGTTGCTTCAATTTCAACTGTATTTAATCTATTCTAAACACAATAAATGTGTTTGATTTCACGTTAAAAATTATTAAAATCATAGTTTTCAGCATGGAACCGAACATGCTCTACGTTATCTTACACTAATTGGCCTCGGCTTTAAAACCAACATTCTCATGATATCCCATGTCTTCCTCGTAAGAAGAAAATATACCAGAAGCAGAAATACGAGATACTTCAACCAGAAATACATACCATGGAAATGAAATGCGAGCAGAATGGTCTTTGTGTGAAGACAGCTCCACGGCCTCTTCATGATTTAAATCAGTAAGTTCTTCTATTGACACTCACTACCCCTATTTCCTGTCTCATTGGAATGGGTATTCCTATGCACCAAACACCCAGATTGATCATTCCTTCTCCCGTTCCTGCCAACCAAACATGGCCTTAATGTGAAGCTCATGTTTCACCACCAAGTAAGCCTGTTGCTTCCAGAGGTGGTGGTTATTTATATGTAGGCATGGCTGGCATGAAGCTACTTCATTGACAATTATATAGCTTCTTGTGCCGTTCAGAGCCTGTGAAAGGTTGAAGAATCCGCTGTCATTACATCCAAAAAACAGATTCGCAAAGAAAGATTGGTCTCTCAGTTCTACGACTCAGCAGGCTTTGAACATTTAAGCAAATAAGCTCTGATCCTCCAACTACTCCGGACAACTCTGAGGAAGAAGCAAGTTGCAAAAGTTTCGAAGCATGCATAACAACGCTGGGCTCCTGATGAACCACCCAACGCTCGCTTCTCCGTCTTGGATATGAATCCTTCTTGTCGTGTGTAATACTGCAATCACCTAATAACGAGCCTAAACCTGTATTTGATGTTACTTTTGGTACACATCCGATACGATACTGCATGCGCTCGAAGATTTATTAGAATCAATATATACCAAGTTCAGAACATTCTTGAACCTACAGTTTTAAAAACACAGATGATGGAAAATAATAGGATATGCATGCAACAGCATCTTAGCATGGATAATTGATATATACCACAGAAAATTTGTCAAATTACACACATTCGATTCCCTTGAGGATAATGTAATGACGAAAATTTAAGATGCCCCAATTCCCACAACACGGGAAGCATAACACTTTTAAGCCTTATGGTTTACTTATGGGATCCCACAAATTTGAATACCTCATATTCCTTAGAATCTTGCACATTACAAGTACGTCCCAAGAATTGGATAGATCATCAAAATTGACAGTTCATTAATTTAAAGGATCCAACAGGCTTGTGCGCACAAAGACTTGCACAAACCAATGACAGTACAGGGGGAAAAAAATCTGATTTACAAGATGGGAGGAAAAGACTGGAAAATATGGAAAGAAGGGGTGTGACCGCACGCAGAAGATTACATTTCAAGCTAAGCCTACCCTTTAAAAAAATACAAAGGAAAAATAAATAATTTAGGTTGCAAACAAAATACACTACTTGTGCCCATCCTATATTATTCCACTGACACCATATAGTCTGTACCAGCTTGTCTTCCCTTTACTTGTTAAAGAATAAACCTTTCTTCTTTCCCCTCCTTTTCTCCACGGCCTGCAGCACAGAAAGATCAAATCCCAGGTCACTAAAGTTACTCTTTAATATTTGTAGCTAAATACATGCTCCAATAATCAAACATCTATGCACCAAGACAATTTATATACTTTTCTTTTCAAGATCATACCACGCATTCTGAAAATAAAATCCCGAATGCACTAAGCTGATGAGCGAGAGTATACCTCAAGATCAATAAAGAGATTTATTCAATATTTTATATGTAGAAAAGAAATGGGAAAGTGCACTGCTTCAACACATGGCAACGCGCTGTCCAATTTCCTTTTCAGAAAATATTTTTCCGCATACCAAACATGACCTTATAGTCCAAATAATTTCCAAGATACCCTAGACAATAACGATCAAAACCTACTGTAAGGATTTATAGTTTGCCTGAAGTCAAAAACGACAATGCTGGCATTGATACCTGAACTAATGGAAGGTATAACTGAAGACCTGACAATTCAGCATCATCATCACAAAGCTTATTTAGATTCAATTTGAGCACTAAAGAATGGCTCCCCCGTTGCAAATTTTTGTTGTTATGTGCACACAAAGGTTGAGTGATGCTTATGGTTGACTAACGAAGTAACCAACATTTTTTCTTTTCTTTTTTTTTTTTTTTGGTTGGGGGGGGGGGGGAAGAGATGGGACAAGGTGAACAAGCCAAGTCTTTCCATCTCACATTTCTTATCTGGTCGTTATCATGAGTGCATGGGTGTCTGTGATATTGACAGTAAGCAAAGTAACAGATTGAGGATTATTTTACCAGTTACAACAAAATGAAATACCAAGCAACATGTCAAAGTGGCAATGAGTTTAACACATACCCGTAGGATAAACAATCTCATGGTGAGCACAATAGTGTCTCTCGAGCTGCAGAGGGAGCAACAAAATACTAAATATCAAAAGCAGAAACCAAATAACATTTAGTATAATGAACAAAGATCATGAAAATTCGTATTATATCCACACCCATTAGAAAATGAATCAAAGGGCACTTAATTTTTCCTGAAAAAGGAAAAACGATAACTATCTTCTTGCTGAGGAATTGAAAAAACACAGCGACAAATTCAAATCCACTGTAAGTAGCACAATATATTAAAGGTTTGTTGACAGACTGCGAGAGCAACGTTATTCAGATTCTTCCCATTGTCAAAGAATTTTAACATGGTTTTTAACATCTGAGCATCCGCTCAAAAGGTAGGCCACCGTTGCCAAGCCAGGTCAGAGTTAACCCATCTATTACCCAAAGAAACAATAAGCAGCATCCAAACGCTATGTTTCAAAGGTGATTTCCTATTCTCAAACAAAAAATGCATTTTCAAACATTAGAAAGAAAATGTTTCAGGTACATTTAACATATTATACATTTTGTTCATTTTGGCAGGTTTAAATGCGGAGACAGCATACAACTATACAGTGGATTATTCAGCAACAGGATGAATCATAATTCTAGACCATGCTGAAATATTTGCATTAAAAATATGCTACCTAAATTCTTTTTGCTGTGAATGGCATGCAAGATAAACTATATGACTTTTCGCTTACCCACTGACATCTGTTGGGTTGGTTTCAGCTCGTAATATATGCTGAACATCACTAGAACTCATTATTACAAATTCTGAAACATTTCCATAAGGAATCACAACCTACAAAAGGAAATAAAAAAAAAAGATAAAGAAAACTAGCTAACCATCAAGAATAATTTATCATAACCATCACGTACACTGAAAAAGAAATTTAGAACAGCTCACTATAACATCCTAGCAACAGACTTGGTTAGCTTTCATTTACCAGAACAGCTCATTATAACATGGTGTATCTTTTACAACATTACAACTAGACTTCTCAATTTTATACACTTTGAAGTCATCACCTCCTGCCAAGCTGCGACCCAATACTAATTTCCACCAAGAACTAGCAGCCTTAAACTGAGGAATGTTGGCATGAGAGGATCAACCATTACTGATCATTTCTTGGAAGTAAAAGAGAAGGAATGACTATGCTTCACAGTATGACTTAAGGTGGCATTTTGTGAGGTGGAATTTCGAGTAAATAGAAGTAGGACTTGTATTCTGAGGTAGCTGCTATCTTTAGTCAGTTAGGTTCTAATTCAGGTGGTTAGCATACAAGTGCTTGATATGATCCATACAAAATCGCCTTCCCCTTCTTTGTATCAAGCAAAATTTCTCTAATCAATAAGATTGAATGATAGGAACTCAGAATGATAAGGATCAGTACAGGAATACCATCAAGAATTTGCTAGGCGGGTAGCACGAGTTCGCAACTGGCCAAAGCACTGCCTCTTAGGTATTTTTCTGGGTGGCCTCAAGGAAGAATTAAAAGCTGATTTACGCATTCAGAAACCTAGAACAGTGTTTAAAGCTGCAAGTTTGGCCCTGGAATTTGAGAAAAAGGCCCAAAATGCGCGTGGGGCCCAGGCCCAGGCCTAGGCCCAATTCCTCATACTCTCAAAATTGCCTAAATCAGTCCCAATTTGCACGTGATTTCCATGATTCCAGAAGCTCCAATTCACTGGCTTCGTCTGCATATCCCTCCAGACCAGCTTCTTTGGCCTCAATCACTCCTAAATACTCCTCAACAGCTGCGAGAATCTCTCCCAAAGATGCAGAACGTCAAAACCGACGAGATAAGGGTCTGTGCTTCCGGTGTGGGGCTATCTTCCAACCTGGGCATCGCTGCAATGCTTCTTTTTCTTTGCTGGAAATTTCTGAAGAAGGTGAAGAAATTCTACCTCCTGTACACAAATGGAGCCAGAGGAGGCCAAAATCTCATTTAATGCGATTCTAGGACAGCATTCAGGAGCCACAATGAAACTTCAAGGCATGCTCAAGGGTCGTACTGTCCTGATTTTAGTTGATAGCGGCTCCACGCACAATTTCATTCCAGATGCAGTGGTATCCGAATTGCAACCCCCGTGCAGACTGTTCCAACTTTTGGAGTTCAAATTGGTAATGGTAATAGAGTGAAATGCCATCAGGTTTGCCCAAAGGTTGAGGTAACAATTTCTGATTTAACTATTCAGCAAGATTTTTACCCTTTCTCCTTGGGTGGTTCTGATTTGGTACTGGGTATTAAATGGTTGGCTTCACTGAACACTGTGAAAGCTAATTAGAACAAAATGTTTATGATTTTTTGGCTAAATAGGAAGAAATATAGGCTGCAAGGCCTACCTACTAACAGTGATGCTTCTGTCCATCTCCATAGCATGCTTCTTACTCAGGAATCAAGTGAGAGGGACGCATCAAGACACTTAGAATGTTAACAGAATTTTTCATGATTTTGCTGATGTCTTTTCTGAGCTAGGGTGCCTGCCACCACCCCGAGATCATTACCATGCCATCAAGCTATTCCCAAATGCTACACCTCCTAACCTACAGCCATATCGTTACCCTCATTACCAGAAGGATGAGATTGAAGCTCAAATTGAGAGCTTGCTACAATGTGGATTTATACAACCTAGCACCAGTCCATTTGCCAGTCCTGTGCTACTAGTTGGTAAAAAGGATGGTTCGTGGTGCCTCTGCATTGACTACTAGCATCTTAATCAAATCACCATATCAGATAAGTACCCCATTCCCAATATTGATGAACTTTTAGATGAGTTGCATGGGGCTGTCTACTTTTCAAAAATTGATTTACAGTCTAGATATCATCAAATCCGTGTTCTGCCGAAGGATGTACATAAAACAGCTTTCCACACTCACTCAGGCCACTATGAATTTTTAGTTATGCCATTTGGTTTAACTAACGCACCGGCTACCTTCCAATCTATTATGAATGACTTATTCAGGCCTTATTTATGAAAATTCGTGCTAGTATTTTTTGATGACATCTTAGTTTACAGTGCTTCCCCACAACAGCATTTACAGCATCTGAGAGCAGTATTCCAGATTCTATAGAAGCAATCCTTCTTTGCCAATGCAAAAAAATGCTCCTTAGGCCAGACTCAAATTAGCTACTTGGGCCATATGGCTTCTGCCCAAGGGGTTGAAGTGGACTCTTAAGAAAATAACTGCAGTGGTGCAATGGCACGCTCCCAAATCTGTAAAAGAGCTTCATGGGTTCCTAGGCTCACTGGTTATTACAGGCATTTTGTCAAAAACTATGGTATTATCGCTAGACCCTTGACTGAATTAACCAAGAAAAATTCTTTTTACTGGTCTGAACAGGCACAAAAAGCTTTTGAGGCATCAAAATTAGTAATGACCACCACACCGGTGCTGCAACTACCAAATTTTCATCTTCCTTTCACCATTCAGTGTGATGCTTCTATAGAGGGTATTGGTGCTGTCCTAGTTCAAGAAGGACATGCAATATCTTATTTCAACAAGGGATTCTCTTTTTCCAACAGGTATAAGTCCACATACGACAGGAAGCTGTTGGCTCTAGCGCTTGCAATTCAAAAATGGCGCCATTACCTACTTGGTCACCATTTCTATGTCCAAACTGATCACTGCAGCCTTAAGTACCTCTTGGAACAGCACAACCTCACCAATTCCCAGCAGCAAACGATGCTAAAGCTTCTTCCTTTCAATTTTGCCATCTTATACAAAGCAGGAAAGGACAATACAGCAGCTGATTCACTATCACAAAGGCCTCAACATGCTGACTTTTTCCAGATTGTCATCCCTTTAGCAAATGCCTTTCAACAACTTCCTGCAGCATTATTAATAGACCTTGAAACCAAAGCTATTGTGGATGCATTACAAACAAATCCACAATCTCACCTAGATAACAGCTTGGTGGAAGGCATATTATATTTCAAGGGACAACTTGTGGTTCCAAATGATGCTCAATTACGAGCTAAATTCTTGGAAGAAGCTCATGCAACTCCAATGGGTGGTCATGGAGGGTTCCTAAAGACCTTGAAGCGATTAGGATCAAGTGTGCATTGGCAAGGTATGAAAACAGATGTTAAACATTTTGTACAAAGATGTTTAATTTGTCAACAACATAAATATGAAACTCTTGCTCCTGCTGGACTCCTTAACCTACTCCCTATTCCGGAGTGAATTTGGGAGGACATATCTCTTGACTTTATCATAGGGCTCCCAAAGTCTAGAGGTTTTGATGTTATCTTGGTGGTGGTTGATCGGCTCAGTAAATACAGTCATTTCATTGCTCTGTCACATCCTTATTCTGTAAAAACTGTGGCTGGTTTATTTTGTCAAGAGATTGTACAGTTGCATGGTATTCCTCAGTCTACCATTTCAGATCATGACTCCATTTTTCTAGGTGCTTTTTGGCAAGAACTCTTCCACTTGAGTCCAACACGCTTAAACATGAGTACAGCATATCACCCACAATCCGATGGCCAAATTGAGGTAGTAAATTGCTGTTTGGAGACCTATTTACGATGCTTTGCTCATGAGCAACCTAAATTATGGAGTAAATTTCTCTGCTCGGCTGAATTCTCATTTAACACCAGCTTTCACTCTTCAGCAAACACTACTCCATTTAAATTGGTTTATGGGCGTGATCCTCCTCCTTTATGCCCTTATGTAAAGGAGAAACATTAGTTGCAGATTTAGAAGAGCAACTGGAGCTGCATGATGCCATGCTCAAAGTACTACATGATAACTTAAAGAAAGCACAAGATAGGATGAAAGCACAAGCAGATCAGCATAGGCGGGACCTTCAATTTCAACCAGGGGATGCAGTTTTTCTACGTATTCAACCTTATCGCCAAAAGTCCTTAGCTAGGCATAAGAATGAAAAATTGTCCCCCCAATTTTTTGGACCTTATACAGTTGTGAGGCGCATTGGACCAGTTGCTTATAAGCTTGACTTGCCTCGAGTCTAAGGTGCACCCTATTGTTCACATCTCCCTACTTCGGCCTGCTCATGGGCAACAACCATCTTCACCACCAGCACCTTTACCTCTTTCTGCAAATCTGGAGCTCCTCCTTACTCCCTTAAAGGTACTGAATCATCGCTGGACACCAGGAGGTATTCTAGAACTTCTAATTCAATGGGATCACCGTCCACTTGAAGATGCAAGCTAGGAAGACTATGATTTAATAGCCATTGAATTCCCCACTTCTCAACTTGAGGACTCAAGTCTATTTTTCAGAAGGGGGGTACTAATAGCATGTTACGTCAATGTCAACATGGACGTCCACTATTGACTTATTAGAGAAGAAAGGGGAGGAAGTTAGAGTCAGTTATGCAAAATTAAATTGATTTTAATTTAATTATTTCATTTTCAATTTAGTTGGCTAAATAAGTAGATCAACTTTTATTATGTGGTTCTCCCATGTTTAGTCTGTTTGAGTCAATTTCTATTTGAGTCTGTTATTATCCCAGATATGTTGGGATATTTTCTTATCATTTATTATTTTGGTGTAATTCCTGCGTTATAAATGGGCTAGCTTTCATCATAGCTAGACATTCAAAAAATAAAATACTATCTCTTTGGAGATTCTCCTACTTTGGCTATTAAATATTTTTAGAGTGAGATTCTTGCTCTAATTTATTTAATAGATTTATTTGCTTTCCTTGTCATTCTGAGTTCCTATCAATATCAGAGCTACGTGATCACATGCTCTGGTATTGATAGGAACTCAGAATGACAAGGAAAGCAAATAAATCTATTAAATAAATTAGAGCAAGAATCTCACTCTAAAAATATTTAATAGCCAAAGTAGGAGAATCTCCAAAGGAATAGTATTTTATTTTTTCAATGTCTAGCTATGATGAAAGCTAGCCCATTTATAACGCAGGAATTACACCAAAATAATAAATAATAAGAAAATATCCCAACATATCTGGGATAATAACAGACTCAAACAGAAATTGACTCAAACAAACTAAACTTGGGTGAACCACATAACAAAAGTTGATCCACTTATTTAGCCAACTAAACTGAAAATGAAATAATTAAATTAAAATTAATTTAATTCTGCATAACTGACTCTAACTTCCTCCCTTTCTTCTCTAATAAGTCAATAGTAGACGTCCATGTTCACATTGACGCAGCATGCTATCATTGAACTACCAAAATTTTTCAGTTTGGCTAAAATACAAGTCTTAAGTCAAAAACATGTCATAACAAACACAAAATTCTGAAAATTCCAAATAAATCATAAATTTCTCTTCAATAAATTTCCAACGAATTGAATTGTTAAAATGCACAATTACTGATAGCCAACTACAATTTTGTATTTCCCTGATGCATCAATAACGTACCAGCTGACCAAAATGTTTTCACAAACTCATTATATGGTACATAAGGAGACATACACTGACAGGCGAAGAAAATTTGTCTGCAGCTACAACTGCATTGGGTCCACTGCGTTTGATACTGTACCCTTCCCTCTTAATAGTCAGAGTAGCTGGTTCCCATATATCCAGATATCCAGTCTGTAAAGGCAATCCAGAAGTGTTTCAAAACAGTTTGAGCTCTTCATTAAAGCACTGTAAAATAATTTTTTGCATACACAGACAGGAAACTTAAATAAGAAACTGCTATCATCAAATTACCGAAAGAGAAACTTTATATGATGCCACTCCACTATAAAGGGTCCTCTCAATGCAGCTCTGCATTTCAGGGTCTGAAAAGAGGATAATAGCTTAATAAACTATTAAGGAAAGCAAGGTCACAGAACTAAAATAAAGATATGACAAATCCAAAGCAGGTTAGCTGGTTTAGATTTTTCTTTTGCCTTCCTTTTGGTGCTTGACCTTGTTAGGTTGCTTCAAGGGAGTCTATCAGATATCCTACAGGCTACAAGATGGAATCAGTTCGTAGTTTATGTTTTGGTTGTTAGGATAATGCCTAATCCTCCTTTGCCATGTCTTAAGTTATATTGTACTAGTTCTTTTAATCGTAATATCCCTTCTATATGATTCCAATTTTATCAAACGTCCCCAAAGGGAACATGATATCCCTTCAGTTGAAATAAATGCACACAATTCGAAAAAATATTCCTTTATATCAATAAGCATTTGCCTCTGAAAGCAAGAAATTTAATCGACTCATTATTCCAAATAATTCAACAACTTTTATAGCAAGTTATGCTCTCCAAGAACAAGATCAATGTTAAGAACACACAACTTTACAAGCCCATGTATAACTTCCCAGTGTAGAGAAGAAACCTTATTATACTAAAGATGTCAGAATCACCACCTATCAGGTTTCTCTTCTTCATGAAGGCCCCTAGAGACTGCTAATATTCTTTTTTATGGCAAGGGCCGGGGTGAATATGTTATAGAATTTAGATTGGAAAGAGAGAGAAAGAGAGGGGTAGAGATAGGGACAGAAACAGAAAGATTAAGAGCAAATCTGAATATGCAATTCTTATTGGAAATCAAAGTCAGAAAGTAGGCACTCTACTGCCTCTTATTCATAGGCATTATTTTCATCTGAATATATATCCTAGTCTATCCAAATCCAAGTAATATAATAATAATGCAATTAAATATCAAATCCTTTCTAAATCTTGTTTAAATCATAAATCATACCGAAATCTATTTAAATCCTAACTAATTCTTAATTCTTTTCTTATTTATAATAATTACATAACAGAATACCACCGTGCCTAATACCTACCGTCTGATGTCTTGTATTTTTGTTTTTCTCTAGCTTGTAGCTATCCTCATCAATTCAATAAAGAAACACCACCCATGTTAAACATGCACCAGCGACATCAAAACTACATCAACATCATTTTCACATCAACCAGCATAAATTTTCTCCCTTTTTACTTTCTCTAATAATGCAAAGATCCAACAAATGATGTGAGCTAGATCCTAAAAAGGTTGCTCCAAGAGTTTCAAGGAATTTTACTCCAACAGCTTAATCTTCTATAAAGAAAAAGGCATGGTCTTCAACATGGTGTCAAAGCTTTTATCACCAAGTAGAGTTTGATCCCCAGTTCCTCACCAGTCACCACTCCACATTCTCTCAATTTTTTTTTTGGTAAGAAGAGCCTATGTTTTGTTCAAACTTCTAGTCCAATAGACTTTAATACAGACATGCATTACAATTAGAAATTACAATAAAAATATTCTAGGTATTCACTTCAACAACTTAACTCTGTTGAGTAGAAGTCTGATATGAAAATAATAAAAGTCTGTTATTTAGATAGTTGTTGGTTGGTTGAGGGTAGTTAAGTCGTTTTGCCTATATTCTAATGTTGTTTCTCACCATTTTCTGAATCCTATAAGTATCAGGATTACTCCCTCCATTGTAGCTAGCATATTGACATAATGAAAGCGTACTATTCAGATTAATCTCTGACTCTCTCCTCTGATTTCCCTCTGGTTCTCTCTATTCTCTTCTGAATTCTCGTCCTTCCTTCTCAATTCTATTCTATTCTACTTCTCTATTCTACCATCTTTTCTATTTTCCATATCAAAAATCATTTTTCACAATTATGACAGATATATCCAAAATTTTATAATTTAAATTTTATAATTTAGAAATCTAAACTGATTCATTTTACTATGAAAAAGGGACAAACCACATAAACGAGATTGTCGACTCTAGAAAAAGAAATAGATAATAACTGTAGCATGATACATGGAATAAAAGAAATCGACTGTGATACTAAAATCTTATATGATAAACAAGGGGCGGTTAGAAAATGAATGGCCACACAATCACAAGATTCCAACAAATCTACTATCCAACGCTGCAGTTTTGTGAAATTAATCCGCAAATTTGCAATTATTTGCTCCTCACCCATATCTATCTCACTTCTTGCACATTGAAGCAACTTAAAGAAATTTAGGGTGGTGCTGAACTTAAGAAACGCCAAATCACAGTAAAGCACTCACCACAAGTGATCTTTTTAGTATCATTCGCAAAAACCTTCACAGGTTCTCCCTATAATCACAAAGTATGCAAGCAATTTAGTTACATCCATATTTGAAATATCCAGAGTCATTCAAATTAACTTGATAACATACTTATTTCCATACAGAATTTGTCTTTTTTCTTCTTGATTTTGTGATTTATCATCCTCTTACACTTTCTAACTCTCATTACCTACTTCACAGTTCAGAAATGGGATTTATGTACATGATCTTGACACCAAAAGTACATGTTGAAGGCTTAATGCAAATGACCCTTCCGGGGACTTCTTATAATCAAGTGAACAGTAAATTTTGCATGGCTAGTTTGGGAATGTTATAACTGATTCTAATCTTTTATGACTCTTCAGAATCTAATAATCATATTTGCAAGAGAGAGAGGGGAGAGGGAACTACAGTCAATATTTTTAATATGTAGACTTTAATGAAAAGAAACGGACAAAATAGCCAGTGTGTGTCCCTTCACATGTCAGAATAACTAAGCTTATGCAATCCTAGGATCTGGATCACCAATGTCATAGTTTCTAATTGATTTTTAAAGGTGGGACTGTAAGATCAGACGACATTGTGATCTAAATCACAACCTTAAAAACCTATATTTCAATGCTAAGAAGATGATATACCACGTAGCTGTCAATATTCAGGTATCTTTTTCCATACAATACTATGTTTAAGTAAGAACTACCTTGCGCTTTCTGTTATCCAGAGGCTGAACTTCAATGGCAAGGTAGGTGTCAACATCATCAGCAGTGACAAGATAGTTGGGTTGCTTTGCCCCTATATTTTTGGATCCAAGATTAATGACTCAAGCTTTAATGTTATGAAGGAAAAAAACAACATTCTCTAGAAAAAGATAATACCATCAATATAATTAACAGATCCATCTTCCAAATGCCTTATCCACTGACAATCCAACAGGACACACAAAAGGCAATGCTGAGTGAGTACAACAGTTATCGAACATGAAAATGCATTAGGTAATATGAGGAAAAAAGTTTCAACTTGTAGAGGGCTAAAATGCACCTCAAAATTACAACTAGTGGTGCCATTGATAGAGTATCCGCATGCCTGAAGTTCTCTTCCTGGAAAGGCTTCTCCTGAAATTTGAAGACCCTCTATAGCTGGTAACGGATCATCATCTGCAGCTGCATGATGCATTTATTCATGCCAAGGTTAGTTCTTTAACTGATAATTAAGATTCAAAAACCATCAATTCTTACCCTCAGAAAATGATGAACAAGGTTCTTCTAGGACTGGTGGTAGATGATAAGGAGAATAAGAGGAACTGGGATCATCAGCGGCAGCTGTATAAGGAGAGTTGCCCGAACTCCAGTTAGCAGAAGCTTCTCTCTCATTCTGATTTCCATCACCATCAGTATCATCCACTTCACTATTACTCACAGGATCACGAAATGTAACCTGTTTGTTAGTTGTTTCTTCTCCATAATGCGTAGGACGAGCACCATCAACTACATGCTGGGAGGGGGTATCATGGCTAGATGTCCTGTCAAATAGCCAATACAATTGTGCACAAATGCACTTCTTTACAATCAACTAAAGACATTTATAAACCAAAAAATGTATATATTTTTCAAATCATAAATTATTATTGGTTAGAATTTCACAAAACTAAAATATTCATCAGTCCGCAACCTTAATATGGCAAATGAATTTAACCGAAGGAACCAATAGAGGAGCAGCTAAACGAAAATGACATGAGAGAAACTAATGGAACTTAGCCCCAAATAGTATTCAAATTAGTTACAATCTGGCAGAATGCAAATCCACCCAGAAAGTAACAAAGAAAATAGCAGAAAAGGCACACCAACCCCCAGCAGTTCGATAGTACTACTGTACTAGGCTCTCCAAGTACATACTAATCACCTGAAACTACACTCTAGCCATCAACCACATATAAATTCCTCATTACTAGCCTACTGCAACTCTCATCTCTCTCACACCTCACACCCTTCAAATAACTCAGACTTGGCCCATTACTATCAAGCCCATCAGAAAACAATATCAATTATGCTTTTATTTCAAAATTACAAAAATGTCAAAAACCACAATGGTTAGGATGTTTCAAATAGTTAAGATTGTAAGACAGAAACCAAAACAAAGTATCCAACAAACTTCTATTTTACATGCAAAGCTTAATAACAGCCTGTAACAGACCCCAAAAGGTACTGCAAAACACAACCAAGTTATTTCAGTATTTATTTACTACCTCATCGTATCTTAAATATGTAACAAAATTTCTTTCAATCGGCCTCAAAAAAAATTGCTTCCTGAGAACCAACTGCTTTTGCAAATCAGTCTCACATAAGCAAAAGTGCAAAACAGACGTAGATGCCAGCAGACTATCTCCAAAAATGACAACTCTTTCCAATCTTCACAATGAGATGAGACACTTAAGTCTTCATGGAACACATTTTCATGAAAAGTGAAGCTCTAAATCGACTAGAAAGTCACCAGGAAATGAGATGATAAAAAATGTTAATCTTAAATACCATGTTACACAGAACATGGTGAAGACAATAACTTCCATATTCACTTCATAGATTCTCCCATCTGCTTTGGATAGAACCAAACATGGTCTCTAACAACTTCAACATGTAAGGCTTATCCACATGTCAAATGATCAGGACCACTTTAAGAGAGACTCCATGAAAATAGAACCCACCAATACATTCAGTTCAGAGTAGCAGTCTCCATTTGACCAGGCTCACCTGCTTGCAAGAGGTGAATATCTCCCCATTACATCAGCATCTACATTCTTCGTCATCCCACCCACACCACTTTGATGGCGACCCAATATATCCCAATCAGTTCCCATCTGACCATCAACAGAGACCTGAGGCTTTACTTGGGAATACATGGGCTGAGGAACCAGTTCAAGTCCATCTTTATTCTAACAAAAAATGCAACGATTTAGAATTTTATAATAGCTAGTAGCATGATGAGAGAGAGAGAGAGAGAGAGAGAGAGACAAAATGAGCATACTGAGGTTGCCAATGCTGCACCAACTGAATGAGATGGGGATTGTGAAGCAAAATTCGAATGGTTCATATCAGAACGCAAAGGCACTAGTTGATATTGTGACTCTTTTAGCTTCGACTGCAATGAAGAATTGACATTGTCAATAAACACCATTACGCTGGCAAAAAGGGAAATACCATAAATCCCAGGATTTTTACAAGAGCATAGTTCATGCAATCTTTAGTATCAATTCTAACAAATCAACCAAAAACCCAACCTGTTGTCCTAACATTGCATGCAGGAATTCAAAAAATATCATTATCTGCCAAACATACCTCAGTGAGAATAAGTTTTTCCTGCAAATGTTTAAACAAAACCTGCCAAGAAGAAGAATTTACTATAAAACCACGCACGTGATAGTTTAAAATTCAGAACTAAGTATATAAAAGGACATTTTGCAATTGCATCGTACGCACAAATATCCCACAATTAACAGATTAAAATTCAAAAGATGACAAAATCAACAACTTGAGAAAAGAAGAGCACTTAATTTGGTACAATTTTTTAGATTCCGCAACAAGGAAAAGAAGAGATAACATATTTCTACTGCAATTTTTAGTTGATTCCATCAAGAATTCCAAATTAAAATAAAAAAAGCTGAAATAGTCTTTCAGTCCCTATAATTCTCTTAATTTTAATCTGGTCCCAATAATTTTATTTTTAAAAAATTAGATCCTGGCAGTCAAACCTTCCTCTCTCTCTCTCTCTCTCTCTCTCTCTCACACACACGCAGGAATTAAACCTGAAAACACATGCTTTAATCAAACCTAAATTGTTAACTTTACAAAATCAGAAAATTTTAAAAACATACTTATGGGCAATGGACCATGGGCAAGACTTACAAGCCCTAAAAACATTCATTATCAGGTATGAGTCTAACTTTTTGTATCAAAAGTCACACTAAGTGCTAATAAACATAACACAAATTAAGGCAAGATTAATGGCCTAATGTTAATTTCAAACCCTGTCCATGCCGTTTTGCTAACACCATCACCCCATGTTTAAATGCAGTATATTTAAACGATCCTACAGTATTCTCTCTATTCAATAAACATTCACTTTTATTGCAAGAATAAGTAGTTGTTAAGAGAAATTTAAAGCTATGAGAAAAAGGAGTGAGATTTAAGGTGCATATTTGACTACAACAACAACAACAACAAGCCTTTATCCCACTAGGTGGGGTCGGCTACATGGATTGCAAGACGCCATTGTGCTCTATCATTTATTAAGCTTTTAGAAATATTATTAATTAAGAGATCACGTTCAACAACTTCCAAGAGTGTTCTCTTAGGCCTTCCTCTACCTCTCTTAATCGGACTCAAAGTTATATGTTCCACTCTTCTCACTGGTGCCTCCCTTGGTCTTCTTTGTACATGCCCAAACCATCTCAACCGATTTTCTACCATTTTTTCCTCAATAGGTGCCACCCTCACTTTTTCACGTATGTGCTCATTTCGAATTTTATCTTTACGTGTATGTCCGCACATCCATCGTAACATTCTCATCTCTGCTACTCCAACTTTATGCTCTTGCTGTCCCGTTAGAGCCCAGCATTCACTACTATATAACATTGCCGGTCTGATAGCAGTACGATAAAACTTTCCTTTAAGTTTATTAGGCACCTTACGGTCACAAATAACTCCTTTAGCTTTTCTCCAATTAAACCACCCAGCTTGAATTCTATGTGAAATATCTCCACTGATTTCGCCATCATTTTGGATAATGGCTCCCAAATATCTAAACTTTTCCACTTGAGGTATAATTTGATCTCCCAATTTTACTTCCAAATTATTTTCGAATAGTCCTTTATCAAATTTACAATATAAATATTCCGTCTTACTTCTACTCAGACGAAAACCTTTCGACTCCAATGTCCTCCTCCATAACTCAAGTTTGCAATTAACCTCTTCTCTTGTCTCTGCTATAAGAACTATATCATCCGCGAAGAGCATACATTTCGGGATTTCCTCTTGAATATGTTCCGTCAAAACATTTAAAATCAAGTTGAACAAATAAGGACTCAGAGATGATCCCTGATGTAGCCCAATCTTTATAGGAAAATCCTTTGTTTGACCACTAGGCGTTCTTATACTAGTTTTTACCCCCTCATACATATCTTGTATGGCTTTAATATAAGCAATCCGTACTCCCTTTTTTTCCAACGCTTTCCAAAGCACTTCTCTTGGTATACGGTCATAAGCTTTTTCCAAATCAATAAAAACCATGTGTAGATCTTTATCTTTACAACGATACTTTTCCATTAATCCCCTTAGTAGATAAATCGCCTCTGTAGTTGATCTACCTGGCATAAAACCAAATTGATTCTCAGAAATACTTGTCTCCAATCTCAACCTATGCTCAATTACTTTCTCCCACAATTTCATTGTGTGGCTCATGAGTTTAATCCCTCTATAGTTAGTACAATTCTGAATATCTCCTTTATTTTTATAAATAGGAATTAATGTACTTCTCCTCCACTCATCAGGCATTTTCTTGGACCGTAAAATCACATTAAATAACTTAGTTAACCATCTCACCCCTTCTTCACCTAAACATTTCCACGCTTCGATAGATATACAATCAGGTCCGTTAGCTCTACCATTTGCCATTTTCTTAAGAGCTTCCTTTACCTCCTTATCACGTATGTTTCGATAGAATGACAAATTTTGTTCTCCTTCACCAATTACTAAATCCTCCAAGTTACTAGATGAATCCTCTCCATCATTGAAAAGTTTAGAAAAATAAGTCTCCCATCTATTTTTAATTTCATCATCTGTAACTAAAATTCTTCCCTCTTCATCCTTAATACACCTTACCTGTTCTAGATCTCTTGATTTTCTTTCCCTACTCTTGGCAATCTTATAAATATTTTGCTCTCCTTCCTTCGTCTCAAGGTTCTTATAAAATTCTTCAAAAGCTTTAGAACGAGCTTCACCCACAGCTCTCTTAGTTTCCTTCTTAGCCATACGGTACCTCTCCCAATTTTCCTCATTGTTACACAAATGTATGGCTTTAAAACAGTTCTTCTTATACTTGATTTTGTCCTGTACACTATTATTCCACCACCAAGACTCCTTATCTCTCGGACCAAGACCTTTCGATTCTCCCAAAACTACTTTTGCAACCTCCCGTATCTTTTTAGCCATATCCTCCCATATGATGTTAGCACTTCCCTGAGAATCCCAAATTCCTTTATCCAAAAGATTTCGCTTGAAAATATCTTGCTTCTCACCTTTTAATTGCCACCACCTAATCCTTGGTGTTACTACTTGTCGACGTTTTTGGATTTTACTCATAATACACACATCAAGGACTAGGACCCTATGTTGTGTCGTTACAGCATCTCCAGGGATCACCTTACAATTTTTACAAAGTTTTCTATCTGTGTTCCTAACCAAAAGAAAATCAATCTGCGACCTTGAGGCTCCACTTTTGTAGGTGATGAGATGCTTATCTCTCTTCTTGAAACAAGTATTGGCAATCTTAAAATCATACGCCAATGAGAAATCAAGAAGAGTTTGCCCTTCATTGTTTAGCTCTCCAAAACCAAAACCACCATGCACCCTCGCATACTGACCAGCTTCCCTCCCGACATGCCCATTAAAGTCTCCTCCAATAAAAATCTTTTCACTCTGTGGTATGTGTCGAATCAACCCCTCCAGATCCTCCCAAAATAATTCCTTAAGACTGGCTTCTGTCCCGACTTGCGGCGCATAAGCGCTAACAATATTAACAGTCTCACGTCCAATTATCATTTTTAAAGAAATAATTCTGTCTCCAATTCTGCTAACTTCTACAACGTTCTTCTTCCACTCCTTATCTATAATGATGCCTACTCCATTGCGTGCACTTACTTTTCCTGTATACCAAAGTTTGAAACCTTGAATATCCTTAGCTTCTTCTCCACGCCATTTTGTTTCTTGCAAGCAAAGGATATTGATTTTCCTTTGAATCATAACCCCTACAACCTCTACAGATTTACAATTTAATGTCCCAACATTCCAAGTACCAAATCTAATTTTGCTCTTATGGACTAACTTCTTTAGCCGCGTGCGTCCAGAATGACGCGGTAGCCCTTGCTCATTTAACACTACATCCGGGCGCCGATGCAGCGGCTCTAACTCACTTATCACTGTACTCGAGCCATGCAGCGCGTTACTTACGGGCAACGACCTAGCATTAACATTATAACGTCTATTGTCCATGTTCATGATAGATTCAACAAATTTTTACATTGGCTGTTGATGGCCTAACACAACCCTCCTCCTTTACCCGGGCATCTTTTAAAATTCCCATCCTATATCCAGACATTTATTCCCTCTTTGACAACCCCACATGTGGAAGGAGGCTGCATGAAAATGTTGAAATACAGCATACATCAAGAACATTTTGTATAAGTGATAACTCAAATACCTAAGAAAAAATAGAAGCAATATTTCAAACAAAAAGAAGCAGAACAAGGTTGACCTTGACATTGCTAACAATTGATTGAGCATCAGGACCAGGGGGCTGAAGGGAGTATTCAGCTAGAAGAGGCAGCAAGGACGAAACAAATGTTGATCTTTCTTGCTGTGCATCCTGAAAGAAGAAAAGAGACAACTAAAAATTAGTCCCAAGTTTCCAACTGTTCATAAAAAGCCAACAGAACATGATACCAAACTGAAATGCGATGAAACATAAGAAATGTTGTTCAACCAAACTATCACACATGCACAATTTAACATGCCCCAATAATGAGAAAAAGGTAAAGAGGCAAAAATACCCACAAAGTGGTCAGCCAAAGGCATCCAATATCCTAAATTGAGGAAAAGAACATAAATACCTATAATGTTAACATGAGTGAATGCAAAAGTTACCAAACCGTTAATTTTGACCATTAAATGCTAACTGTGCATGTCAAGTGTCAGCCTTTGCTGATGTGAACTAATAAAGGGACAAAAATACACACAAAATTGTCAGCCAGGAGCAAAAATACCCATAGCATTATCAAAATTGGTGCAAAAGTGATCAATCGATCAAATCTTTTAAGCATTGACCGTTTAACTGACACCTAAGTAAAAATTGACTATTTTTTTATTAATGCAAACAAAAAATACTCCTAAATGAATTTTTACAGAGATTGTTCGATCATCTTATGAATATCATGTGAAAAAATGTCATTTTAACAGAATATCAAATTAAATCGCCCGTTTTTTTTACAGCACTGATGAAAATCATTTGAAAATTTTGAACTTATTATGAATGAAACTGTTTAAAATTATGACAATGTTTTTAAAGTAGGACGACGTAAGAGGTGTGCTCAGTTTCAATTTTTAATTGTGTATAACCTATCTCACTATGTTGAATCTCAAGTTTTGCAAACAAGAAAAATGAATAGAGAGGGAGGGAGGAAAGGAGTAGGATATGTGGTGATGAAAAGAAATCATGTGGCATGAATTTTGACGAATTGACCACTATTCCATCAACTAAAGTAACATTATGGGTAGTCATACGATAATCAATCAACCTCCGTAAAAATTTATCTAAAGATATTTTTTTATCTACATCAGCAAAAAAATAATCAACTTCTACTTAGCTGTCAGCTAAACCGTCAACATTTAAGGAATTTGATGGATTGGTCACTTTTATACCAACTCTGATAAAGTTATGAGTATTTTTGCTCTTGACTGACGACTTCGTTGATACTTTTGCTCTTTTATTAGTCCACGTCAGCAAAGACTGACACATGACATGTATAGTTAGCATTTACCGGTCAAAATTAACGATTAAGTCAAAGTTAACAATTTAATCACTTTTGTATCCACTCATGTACCATTATGGGTATTTATGTCCTTTTCTTCACTTTAGGATATTGGGTGCCCTTGACTGACTACTTTGTGAGTATTTTTACCCCTGTACCATAAAAAAATGTGTAAGGGGAAAACACCTGCAGCGCATACGTGAGACGAATGTTTTCTTCAATTATGTCCTGTCTATATGATAAAGCTTTTGATGCTGCATCTACTAGGTCTTGTTGCTGCTGATCAAAGGCCTAATGGTATGATTAACAAAAAAAAAAAACAGCATAATTCCAATTAAAACTCAGGAAGAGGAAGGAAAGCAAAAATTCTTAAGAAATTAAATATGGACATCAAATAATATCATGCTTACCAGACGCATATATGCAATGCGCTTTTCCAAAACATACTTTTCATTGCGTATCTGTGCTTCCTATTGTAAAGATAACGATTAATCACCGGTAACATGATATGAACAGGAAAAAAATATTAATTATCACAAGCTTTAAGAATATGCATATCCTTTACCTTTACGGAATAATCTGCAAGATGTTTCCTTAACTGCATGATCTCTTCTTCATGTTCACGAATCTTTATGGCAAGATCCTAAATAGATATGACATTGGGCCATAAATATCGTGCTCTGATAAAAGATGAGACTTTTAGAACTATCACAGTACCTGCTTCCATAGGCTATTAGAATTATTCATTTCAGCCACGGGCATCAACCCTTGTCCAGAAGAATTAATTCGTGAACCATAGCCCCCTTCAACTTTATGCCTACAGCAAAAATACAGTTTTCTACAAATATGAAAGTTCTTCTTTGATAATACCTGGGCAGAATAAAAACATATGGATATTATACAATTCCAACAATACTATGGACATTCAACAGCAACATACCTTCTTGGAGAGATTGACCTTGCAGATAATGGAGACATTTGAGAGGGGCCAGTATTATCAGCATATAGCCGATCATTTGGGTGCATTCTGAATGTCCCATTTAATTTACTGCCTTGATAATGAATTTCTGCATCACTTCTGGCTGCATCATCTCAATGTTTTAGATACTGGAAGACTTGCATACGAGTTATATCAGTTAGGTAAACATATTCATACCCTTAAGCAGATCTTCTTGATTTCCTAATGGCACAAATGACGGACGAGCTTCATAAGACCCTTGACTCTGTTCATCCCATGGTGCAACAGATTGTGGTCCTCGATCCATTGACTCATCTTGCTTCTGTCAAAATTAGAAGACTTGCACAGCTGAGATTGTTGATTTTACTGTTCCTTTTTCATTGACATTGTCAAGGAGAGATTTCCTTTGTGATGAAAAAGGAAAGTTTGTAGAATAGAAGGGAAGTAAAAAGGCATATGAGGGGTCCTGTTGAGGAAAATTTCAATTCATTGTTATGCAGGATATTTTTCTATCCTCCTTTCTCTTCTTTTATCAAAAGCAAAAGCAAAAAAAAAATTGGGGGGGGTGTGGAGATTGACCCCATGTAATCATCATGAGGATAAACTGTTCAGCCAAATCAGAGAAAATTTCAAAAATTAAGCCCATGGAAGTATGGGGATTCCAGAAGCAGGCATGTTTATTTTGCGCCAAAAGCACAAAAGTTATTTACTTTATCTGCTTATTTCTATTACTGCACATACTCCAGAAGGGTCAATTGATATGAAGAGTAGAATGGAATGGGCAATGAAACAGAATAGCAAAAAGTAAATTTCTGGATAAAAATGTTCATTTTGCTCCTTAATTTAAAAAATTAATAAAAAGAGACCGTAACTGTTGAGTAATATGAATAGAGATGCAATAAATATTACACGTCTCAGATTTTTTTGCAAGAAAGTCCCTTTCCTTTGCACCAACAAAATCAGGTGCATGCACTTCCTTGTATCAAAAATCTACTACTCCCACATGATATTAGTTTCATTCAAGATGTGTTAAGGACGCTATCTAAGTAAGTTGCCACTCTCAAGAACATTTTGATGAACTTCAAACTTAAACAAGCAAAATTAAAGAATCAAATAAACTTTTGCAGTCAAATCCAACCGAAGCTGGTTTCACCCATCATTTTCCAAGTTTTTTAACCCAAATTGATTACGTTTTTGGATGACACTTTTTCCTCAAAAAATGCCATTCACAACTTTAATCCTTCAATATATATTTGTGAACCAAACCCCCTTTCCAAATTAAAAGACACAGCAAACTCAACTTGATACTGTGCAGTGACTCTGCAGTAAAAGGTGACGGAATAATTCATTCTATGCTCACCACAAAGTTCCATAGTGACTCTAGTCATAGTTTCTTAAACAGTATGAGCGATTTAAATTTTCAAATCAATACTTTGAACAACTATGATAAAAGAAGAAAGTTTGACTAGGAATAGAGAACAAGAAAGCTACAAAGCTGGCGCGTGAGACTTTGAGGCAGGGCACACCAACATTAAGAAAGCTAAAGTATAAAAATATCGTTTAGACTCAATATTTTGGTTCAGCTACAAGTATGGAGCTCGTTAATATTTCAAAAACCTCACCAGATCACAATTACCTGAGATTGTTAGGAGTAGTAAACTATAATACTTAATACATTATGTGTTATTTCCCAAACAACTCAAAAGTTTAATTTAAAAACTTAGGGCCTGTTTAATCGCCTGTTTTCAAAAAAGTTTTGTTTTGAGAAACAAACCAAAATAATACTGTTTGAAAATGTTTTTGGTTATGTGTTCAGAAAAACCAAAAAACCAGAACATATTTTTTCATGTTTTGTTACCTTATGTTCTACAAAATCAGAGAAGAAGCAAAGAGCATTATGTTTTCATTGGTGACAATTATGTTAAAAAAGCAAACCATTCTTTCATCTTTCACTTCACCACTTTAAATATGTTTTTCAAAACAATAATTCAAACAGATTCTTTTAATTTTTTGTTTCCAAAACTTGTTATTAAAAAATTACTCTACAGAATTGTTTTAAGAATATAAAAATAGAGAAAGAATTCAAACAAGCCCTTGTACTTCCTGAGCTTCAGTGGCATTGGGCATGTGCTTGTAATTAGGTGTTGCAGCATTTTGTTTTAGCATTGACGTAACTCTTATGTGCTCCATTATAGTAAAGAGTCTGAATTTTTACAGGACTAAAAAAATCCTACATTGTTCAAGGTTAAGTTATCGAAGGCCAAGATCTGGTTAATAATTTAATGTTCTGTACTGACTTCATTTCATAGATATTAGTAATGTGACCTGTAGCAGCAAATTGCTCTTCATTGTTTGATCAATAAAATCAAGCCCCTAATTGTGATGCAATGTCTCTTTTCTCCTGCTCATCTTCCATCATATTTTACATTAACTTTGTCAACTAACCAGACCAGATTTCCCATCTAGAAATCATTAAAAATTTGCCCCAACCAAGTAACTCGTTTACCCTGATGATATTACCCAAAACCCCATCAAACCCAAGACCTCATTACCATAAGTGCCACTCACAGTGCCCAAACAAGCACCAAGTTGACCCTATGACCCCGTTCTGTTTCCTCCAAAACTATTATTGCCTTTACCTGCCTCCATCCTTTAATCTTCTCAAGAAAAACCTAACCCTAATTTCATGAATCTAATACTCCCAACTGACCAACATCAAGCTTCATCTGACAAACACCAAAACACTGACATAGGCCAGAAAAATAATTGGAGCCAATAAATCTCCAATCTACTTCAATGTCAGCCAACTACACACCCTTTAAACACTCATAGACCAGCCATTGTTAAAAGCCAAAAGAAAAGGGCTATGACTTAAGAATGAGATAGAAATCAATTTGCCCAGTAACTGTAGGATTTCACATTCATTAGCACAGCACGTATTGTACAACAGCAATTTATGGATCATCAAACTTACAGCAAATACATAGCATCAAAACCAATCAAGTTATCCAAGTGAAAGATTTCCCTTGGTAATTCTTAGATGTTTGAAAGGCCAAAAAGCAGGGATAAGTGAGGCATCAATAGCATACTCAAATACTTTTGAAGCCCATAATCATTTCTGGGGGGGGGGAGAGAGAGAGAGAATGCTTTGGAAAGACTTGATATGAAGGGAGGCTTGTGTTGCACATATTTATAGTAGAGATAAGGCTGCATAGCTCGAGATAGGACCAATGAAGGATTTTTGTAGTTTAACTAACCACAGAAAAAGGCAAACCATTGCTTCTAGCAGTTTCTTATCACCCAAATCTAGGAAAAGTCTAATTAAATAGAAACATCCCATCATTGTTTGCCTTCCAATCAAATTTTTACACAGCACATTACCGAGACTGAATCCCACTTCATTTTTAAGCCTACAACAAAACTAACAAAATGAGCCCTTTGATTATCTCATTTCTAGTCCAGACAAAATAACTACTACTCCCTCTTGTTCTAATCATAGGGAAAAGTTAAAAGCTCTACTTGGTCCAAAATATAGGGCAAAGATGTGGTGTTAATATTTTTTTCCAATATTCCCCCTCCTGTATTGAAAGGACAACATGAGCATAAAATGGGAGTAGCAAAGATGAAAGTGTTGAGATGAATATGTAACCACACAGAAAAGGGAAAATTGAGGAGAAAATGATGGAAAATTGATCGAGATGATTTGGTCATATACAAAGAAGGCCATTGAGAAGCCAATAAGGAGGGTGAGCAAATAGCCTTTAACCCTATAAAGAGAGAAAAAGGGAGACCAAAAAGGACACTTGGAGAAGTCATTAATCAAGATCTCTTGGTTAATGGTTTATCAATAGAATTGGTTCAAACATAACACAATGGCATTGTACAATCCATGTAATCAACCTCACTTAATGAAATAAGGCTTTTGTAATTGTTGCCCTTCTTTATTGCACCACGTTGTTGGCATGCTTTTAATTGTAGTACAACACTTTATTGTGAACATTAATTTTAGTGAAAGGCAAAATTAGAATGGTATGCATTTTTCTACAAACTTAGGCATGGCAATGACAGCCCCTCAAGAACCATGGAGTACTTGATTTTGCCCTATAATTAGAACTAGAGGAAATACACTAAAATCCCCTTCATTTATTAACCATAATTGCCATCAAGGACATGTCATACTAAAATTTAAAATATTTAAAAAAGAACTCTCATAAGATATTTTTTGTTGGTGATTAGATTTTTTGGTTGGTAAGGAAATTCTTCTGCTTTATTGCAGCTGTAATTAATAATTAATAGTACCACAGTGCCTCTACCATGATCGTTTCACAGATTTTGCCCCACTTTTTCTTCTAAAGTGTCTAATGCAAACTTATCATACTTTACTTAGTGTAAACCAAAGCACAGCCCTCCCATTTTCTGCCAATAGCATTATCTAGCTGGTAATCAAAAGATAGAGCCAGTGTAGTAAAAGGAAATGAGTGAAGGGGCAAAGATTCCTTCGTGCCTTTGGTGGGTTGGGCAAGGGCCCTTCATCCAAACCTCCTCTCTTACAAACTTTGCATCATTCTAACTTCCCCATGATTATTATGCTTTAATAGTCAATTAAATAATGCGTCAAATGTCCTCCTAATAGTTTGTGTTACAAATATTTTCCATTTACAAAGTGCATTTTCAGCTTCTTCTTTTTTTCTTATTTTAGAGCCTAACTTCACTCGAGGTAGCATTTGCACTTCTTGCCTCAAGGCACTAATGGGGTTCTAGCACCTTAATAAGCGCCTTTCACAATTGACCACCTTGAATAGAATACAAGTACATAAACAGAGACGATAAGCCCATTGGCAAGTAGAATATTTATGGAATCTTTCACTTCTACAATCCAGAATGCAAGTCCCAACTGTAAAATCCTTGCTCCACTTGGAGCTCAAATATAAAGATGTAAAAATAGGTTGAGACCATCAAATTGGGCTCATAAAATTAGAGCCCTTGTATAAAGAGAGCTCAACCCTATCCAACCCACCAAAGAGGTAGATGAACAAGGCTGAACTAGCCAATCCAATATGCTGGAACTTTTCATTAAAGATTCCCCCTGAGAGTAACGGTACTTGATGAAAGTGAGACAGTCTATCACCCTTGTCAATTAGTAAGATATTTCAAAATGTCAGCCAGTTTTTACCTTTGTCTAAGATATTTCACATATTTGGCAAATAATTAAAATTAAAAAAAGTTTACTAATTGTTATGAACATCTTTTTAATTTTTTGACCAGCCAGTGCATCTATCGCACTGTATAGAGCCAGCCCAACCCACTGAAGATTTAGGTTTACTTCATGGACTGGGCCAAGCTGGCTCGCTTAGACAACACTTTTGATTCAAGAAGAAAAATAAGCAATCTAAAGTTTTCCATGAAAACGGAAAACAGTTAACCATCAAATATTCATCTAGCCGTGTCAAAAATAACCGATATGCAAGTAATCATGAGCAACACTTACATATTTTTCAAGTTCCTGAATTTTTCTTTGAAGCTCAGACCTAAGCCGGTTATTCTCTTCCACCTGCCAAAAGTAACACGTGCAGCCTCAATATCTACTCCAAAAGGACTTCAACATAGATAGCACCGTTTATGGCACAAAGTAAACGTTTTTGCAGATGCATGCAATTTTGGCTCCGTTTCGTTGGGCAGAGAATATCTTTTCATTAAACAAAACGCACGATATGCAATATTATTTTATAATTGTTATCACTACTCAATCGTAATCATGAAATTTTCAATATTTTTATCCAATGACAAAACATTTCTCATCAACAAATTACTTTTTTATTTCAATTTTCTTTCCATTCCCTATCATTTTGAATGCCAAAGGGGGCCTCTTCCTCTAAAATTGAAATATTTCACAAGTGGACAACAGTTGACACGATGTTGTGCCTAAATAATAAAGACAGTATTCAGTCTAATTGCTCCCTCAAAAATCATGACATGATACCTTGAAAAAAAATAGTGAATGAGTGAAGGGAGCAATGAGGAATCGAAGCCCATGGGTTAAAACAACAGTCAAAGAAAAAGAGGGGAAGAGAAAAAAGAGGATGAACCACCAAGGCTATTTATCATACACAACCCATAATCTACATAAACTAGTCTAAACGCTTTGATCTCCCGCTAAAGCTCTCCAGCGTCTAAAGACAAAAATTTCGATGAGAAGTAACCCCCCCAAAAAAAAAAAAACTGCTGAAAATTAGCAGGATTGTCAGCATTACCAAGCCAATCGAGTCCAATTATATAAGACATGAGTAAATACGTCGACATCAATCAATTATGAAACAAAAGTCAGTTTAGATTTAAAAGCGAGCATCCTAAGCAAATTGTAAAAATTTTTATATTCAGATATTGATGAACATGATCAAAAATCTTAAATAGCGCATATGTTGAAATGAAAGTACCTGCTGCTTAATGGTGGCCTCCGCCGCCTCAACGGCCTTCATGACTTGATACAAGCTGTCGTTGTTGCTAGAAGTGGGGTTAGTCTGATCCCGCGGTTGATCATGTTGCTGATTATGCTGATTAACACCCAAGCCTGAGAATTTCTCGGCCAATTTCGCATCATAACCATTCTCCATGCCCTTCTTCTACAATCCCCCAGCAATAACTGGCCAACAGCACACGCAAATCAATCAGCCACGACTCTGTCAACCCAACCCAATACTTAGGAACGCCCACGCATCGTCTTTACTGACTATTATACTCAATGCTACCTTGCCAAAACCTATTACTATGCACATTCGCTTCCCACCCTTGCATCAATCAAATGCAGCCTGGAGCACAAGCAACTAATCGGAGATTGGGAAAAATTAATGAGAGCTGATGATTCAACTAAAAACGAAAACAAAATGGAACTGGGATTTCGAGGAAAGAAATCGATATATTAAAATTGGAATGAAAGAAAATGGACATTTCAGAAATCGAAACCCTAACATCCAATAAAAGGCCAAAAGCTCGCAATGAAGAGTGATGAATTAACAATCCAATAATAATAATAATAAATTCCGTGTCTTAGTATGATGCTACCACCAGTATAGTCAAGTCCATTGGCAAAAAAAAAGGGGAGAGAAAAAGGTGAAGATAAAGTCAAGTGCGTGTGTCCATGAAAACGTGTAATTAAATTACAATTTAAATCAATATTTTACTTTAAAAAAATGAAGTTGAAATTTGAATTATGTTCAAATTCCTCAAAATATAATTAAATATTATAAAATTTATTAACAATTTCATTCAGTAAAATTATAATCATTTTTAATAACTTTTATAAAGATTAAATTAAATAAATAGCTGCTTTTATTCTGGTAAAATTTACTAAATTGGTGGCTTTTATTTAGCATATTAATATTAATAATATGAAAATTAAATCTAAAAATCTACATAGATTATTCATAAAATGGTACGTTATGAGTTGTAATGCTTACTAAGTATGAATAACATGGCTGTTGGCCAAAAAAAAGAAGAAGAAGAAGAATAATAATAATAATAACAACGTGGTTGATATTTGGATTCTACATATAAAACAAAAATAGGTGATTTCTCTTATTTTTATTTATTATAATAATTAAATTAAATATAAGATTTTTTTCTCTGAATTTATTTATTGTTTGTCACAGATATAGCTCCATTTATATTTTCTTTCTGGCAATAAGTTAGCTTAAAAAAAACATGGAAATTATAACGATCGCTTATCTTGGAGTGGAGTACAATCCACGTCTCCAAGTGGCAATGGAAAATCTACTGTCAGGCATTATATTTTTCTACATTTGCATCCTTGACATGGTTCTCATTGATTGCTGGGATGTGTTGTCTTTGTGTTATTTATTTCCTTTCAATGATTGGAATCGATGTTATAAAATACACACAGCTTCGTTGATATGTTACTTTTTTAAAAAAAAAATATTGTTTGCTGATTATTTATTTATTAATTGCAAGTCTCATTTGTTTGGGAGAGAAAAAATTAACTAGCAAATATGTTTGCAAATCAACATGCTAATTCAGAGGTCACTTGCTTCAATTATTTAACTTGAAAAAGCTTTGAAGCATAATTTCCTGCTCTTGAAATTCATAATTAATTTTTTATTTTTATATCAAGTAAAATGCTTTGGTAAAATTAATCATGATAAAGTTTTTAACTCGGCTACAGTCAGTTTTTGAAGTTTGTCTCAGTGCAACTCAATCTACCATTTAATATATAATATATATATATATATATATATATATAATATATATATATATATATATTATATATATTATATATATTATATATATATATATATGTATATAAAGTTAGTCCTGCAACCAAAGACCCTTATCTAGTGGTGCCAAGTTGTGCCTTTGTGGCATTAAATTTTAAGTGCGATCCCATGGCCCTTCGGGCACCATGCCTGCCCCTAAAATTATTAAAAAAGAAAAAGAAAAAAAGGGGCCAGTGCTCTTGACTTATCAACGTAGGCATTAACTTCGCGAAGACGATTATTTGGCATCTTAGTCAATGCCACATGGAAAGTGCTCTACTCTGCAAACTTCATCCTCCAGTCCTCCACAGAGCAGCTTCAGTTTTGCGTATATTTATGGGGTTCCATGTGGCATTATCAAGGATGCCAAATGATCATTCTACCTGTTTGGTCAAAGTTAATGTCACAGATAGATAAAGTTAATAAGATTGCCATTTTAACCACATTTTTATAAGGATTAAAGTTTAAAAAATAATATTTTTTTTAAAAAAATTGAGCTTTAAAATGTGACCATCTTTAAAAAAAAAAAAGTATAAGCTCGAAGCCTTTTTAAACCTGTTTTTGTTTTGCTGTTGAAAAAATAAAATATTTTTTATTTTTAAGTCAAATTTAAACTTTAAAATATTGTTTATACTTTAAAATTAAAATTTTTTATAACTCATTTTTTATTTTTTAATGTTATAATTTGCATTTTGAAAAAGACAAGAAATATTATAATTATTTTAAGTCAAATTTAAACTTTAAAATATTGTTTATACTTTAAAATTAAAATTTTTATAACTCATTTTTATTTTTTAATGTTATAATTTGCATTTTGAAAAAGACAAGAAATATTATAATTAAAAATTTTTAATTTTAAAAACTAAAAAAATGAAAAGAGCTTATAGACTCAATCCTGAACCATTTCAATAACAACCGGCCTTCAAAAAAGGTCAATTTTGAAATAACTTGACTTATAGACTTAGCCCATCTCTACATATAAATGAGTTGTGGAAGATTAATTATGTATAAGAGATGAACACATTTAACACAAAAACTTAGAAAACTAAGTTATACCAAGTTAAATTTTAAGAGTTTAATTGTTGCTGGATTAAAATTTTAAGAATTAAATGGTTGATTTCCTCAAATGTTTTTCATCATATTATTTATGATTGAAGTTTTTTATTGTGCATAATTTGTTTTTATTGACTGTTGGACACTAATTATTGACACCTGTCCCAACTTCAATTATTACTCGCATGAGTGGCGTCTCAACTAATATTTGTATCATGAATCAATTTCAATTAACTTAAGATAAAGATTCTTTGTTGGCCAGAAAATAAAAAAATAATAAAGATTATTTGACAGTATCTCGTGGATAAATAAATCAATATCAATAATCAATAATAATTACATAAAGGTGCGTGTAAACAGCTTGATTACCGTAAGGTCCCTTGAATTTGATTTGGTCACTGGCAGGTGTCAAAAAACTTGGGAGTTGTTTGGAAAACGTGAGAAATTACTCTACCTCCCTTTGACCACTTTTACTTTAACTTTCGCCTCTGATCTTCCTGCTAACGTTAACTTGCGTTTGCAATCAAGGAAATTAACATTATTAATTTAACATGTTTATTAAAAAATTAATAGATTAAAATATACTTTTAACCATTTAACTTTGTACAATATTTCATTTTAACTCCTTAATTTTATAAAGTTTTCTCAGTCATTTAACTCTAATATCATTAGTTTTATCACAAATTTTTTTTTACATTAGACTTTTAAATATTTATAAAATATTTTCAAATGTTAACACATTGAGTTTAATTTTTTTAAAAAATAACAATAATTGACATAAAAAATAATTATTTGAAACAAATAGCGTTAAGGTTAAGGGACTGAAATGATACTTTATAAAATTAAAAAATTAAATTAAAAATTTATATAAAATTAGAAAATAAAAAATACATACTTTAATATTTTGCAAGGCTCGTCATTTTTTCATTCAACAATAACCCAATACACTTGATATTATATATTTAAAGTGCTCAGTTTCAATTTAATCAAGACATGTTAATCTTTTATGTATTGTTTATTGCAGGGATAATTTCAGTTAGGGCCCTCGGAAGCAATATATATGCTAAATAAAAAATATAAATGTTATAAATTTATCTTTCAAGTATTTTCATAAGCTTTATTTAATTATGAACATATTTTTATTCATATATAAAAAATCAATTGTAAATATTTAAACATAGCTTATTCAAACATAAGATAAGTTGTCAAAATTTTTTAAACACAACTTGTTCTAGCATTTTGTCAACAACTTGTTATTTCAATATTGACAAGTTATCAATACTATACTAAACAAAAATAAAAAATATGTTTTAAATTTATTTTACAAGCATTTTTATAAGCTTTATTTAATCATGGACATATTGTTATTCATATACAAACAATCATTTATAAATATTCAACCATGACTTGTTCATATATAAGATGAGTTTTCAATTTTTTAAACACAACCTATTCAAGCATTTTCTTTACAACTTGTTATTTCAATATTGATAAGTTATCAATATTATACCAAATAAAAAATATATGTTATAAATTTATTTTTCAAACATTTTCATATGATCTGGTCAATCACGGATGCATTATTGTTCATATCCGAACAATAGCTTGTATATTTTTTTAAAAAATAGGAGTTATAATATAACACACACATATATATTTGTAGTGTATAATCAAAAGGCTTTGATAGTTTGGTAGTAAATGAAGCTCCAATGGTAGTGGCCTCCTTGCCTATAATTTAGCTCTAGTGGCCACTAACAGTGACAACTTTTTTCTAAAAAAGAAGAAGGCAGAGCCATCTGTCATTTTAGCAAAAAATAAATAAATTAATTATGTGAAGGGCCATCAACCTGCGAAGGAATTTTCAGATTCCCTTGAGTCTTTAATGTATGTATCTTGCTTTTTGAGGGCCCTAACAAAAACTCTCCCTTTATTTTATGATAAACTCTTATTGTTAAGACTTGGATTTAGTTGGTGTCCCAATTACACGCATTGAATAAGTGTCACAATGTGACCTTATCTCTACCATTCGATTAAATCAATAGACTGAGATCTTTGAGAGTAGCAAGAGCAACTAAATAAACCACAACATCCATCCTTATTTCTCTAAACAAAACTTGCCTTCCTTTGAAAAGGAGAGAACCAACTCTGAAGTAGCGAGGGAGGGGATCTAACGTTGATGTTAAGAACCATACAACCATCTTCTTGAAAACAATGAACCTAAAGATCATGATAGTAAAAGTAAGAAAGCTCCAACAATGGGGAGTTTCCTCCCTCTCAATGTCAGGATGGAGATATAAAAGAGGAACATAATGGAGATGGGTTCTTGCAAATCAAATTAAGTATGGATGGATTTCTAAATCATTGAATTTCAACAAATTCAAGTAATATAGGTGTTGAGGGGGGAAAAGGAAAGCAATATTCAACTAGAAAAATTGCAAACTAGGAACTGAAGATATGGAAATGGGTGCATGGAAAGTGACATCACACATCACTATAATATGTTTGTTATCTTGAAATAGTTCAAAAGTGTTGTTACAGGTTTGAAAAATATTGTCTAAATGTATAGATTTTGAGTGTTCTCAATTTGAGTGTTACCTATTACTTTAGGCAATAATTTTCTTATCTTTAGCCATACCATTTTAAAAACAGTTGTCTAAAACTATGAGAATAAACAATGATTTTTTGGAGAC